ACACGTTTGTTCTCATACACGATTCCGTAATTAATAAATGTCTATAAATAAAAATCTAATTTAAGAAAAGTTCTAAATTATATTTGTAGATTTGTTTTTCATTTTATAAGCCAATTAAAATTTCTACTCGCTATATATTTTCACCGAATCTTGCGTTGTGCTTTTATTTCTGCCCACCAGCGTTGGAGAGGTAAAGTCGCTGAACACCGGTAGTTTGGTCTGGGTTCGAATCCCGGTGAAAGGACTGCCTGCATGGGTCTTTTTGTGGTTTTCTCGTGTGTAACGTGTATACAAGCCAGCTCCTATAGAAAGCCCTCCACGAAGGCATCTCTCCTCTTAAGCAGATAGCCCTCGAGTGCTTGACTATAATCAAATAAGCCAAACCTTTTATTTATTTCTGTAAATTTGGAAAGAACTAACGTATTAAAAATACATATTTTAGCCATCTTTTTAAATGGTAAACGATAAAATGTACAGCAAAGAAAGGGAAATATTGATTTCATGGAAATCATTTTGTTCAAAATTCCGTAAATAAGTGATTTGAGTGTGTGTGATTATGGCAAAGCCTCGGGGGCTATCTGCCTAAGGGGAGGGATGCCTTCGTGGAGGACTTTCTAAGGGAAACTGGCTCGTATACACGTTACACATGGGGAAAACCACGAAAACGCCCAGCCAGCCGCCCGTTCGCGGGATTCGAACCTCGGACCGAACTACCAGTGTTCAGCGACTTTACCGCTCGGGCCGCTGGTGGGCCACAATAAGTGATTTGGATGCAGTGAAAAGCGTACCGCTAATTTTTTAAACATTTAGAAGGCTTTTATTCCTTTAGTTATTTAGTTCCTACCTTAATTTTCTGCGATATTTATGCAAATAAAATAATATGATAAAGAATACAGAAATAGAGATATTCGTTTCCCTTGGAACTGCGAAATAATAAGTATATGGTGCTGTTATAGAAAAGATTGACATAGTAGTTCCCCTTTTGCTGTTTTTAATATTTTTCGCTTCAAATTGACATTAAAAATATTAATACAATTATTGGTAATTCTCTTACTGGCAGACGTTCATACATTTTTATCCATAGTATATAAATATGTTTCAACGAGCTGAAGGTTTCAGTTTCTTAGAAAAAAGCGAGTATTTTCCCATATATCGAAGGATAATTGACCCTTTCATTAAGTATCCTTCATGAGCTTTAAAGTCTTAGACACATAGATTTCATTACAAATCATACTACAAGTTATATATAATATTTTAAATAAACAAGAGTATTTTAATTTTCGGTTCTTAGTTATAACTAGAAAATGGAATTGTAAACACCATATTTTGTTAAAATTTATTATCCTTGCAAATCGGAACAAAATTAGTAACACAACTTTGATAGTAAAATTAAAATTTTAATCTTAAATAATTAAAGTATTTTATTTAAAAAGAATTCGGCAGTATACAATCGCTTCAGTAAAAGGAATAAGCAAAGCTTATCAAAATGGTAATACTAAAAATTTTCAGATAGTATTTTCAGACAATGATAAGTAAATTGTCAAATCTACATTATCGTATAAGTTTATCTAACATTTTCATGATACATAGTAAAATCGAAATTATATTCTTTCATTATATGGAGTTACATCATAGAGATCCTTAGAATCATGTATCTCTATATCAAAAAGTGATTAATTAGCTATACTGTGTGTTTTGAATAAAAATTCATATTTGCATACATAAAAAGAAAAACTAATTTAGAAGAAATATAGTAGTGCAACAATAGTCTATATTTTAAAATAATCCAAAATTAAACTTAGTTATAATAAATAAATAGAAAATGATATTATGAATACATTTTTATTTATAATTTTAAGAAATGTGAACATGCTGCATTTTAAAAACGTCTTCGTGCTGAAACATATGTCTGAAATGATTAATTATTACATGTAGTCAATTTTTTAAAGAAAAGGCATAATTTAGAATTAATTGCCAGATTTCAAAACCGAATTAACCGATTTTAGCATACTTTTTGTTCAAGGATCAAACATTCTTAATAGTTAGGTATCTGGAGAATCCCCTTCAGGTTAAAAGTGGATTTCAAGTTTGCTGACAGCTCAAAATTTATCCAGGTATTTATATATAAAATGCTTAGACAATAACCAAATTTGTGTTTCTAAATATCATTCTACTGCATTTTTAGCAGCACCAAAAGGTAACCAAAAAAAAAAAAAAAAAAAAAAAAAAAATCTCATAGAAAAGGTGAACTTCTCCTAAAATGATGAAGCCTTTAATGTCTGTTTCCTTCAGGTACTTCAATAATAAAAGTTGGCTAAAATTAATTTTTTTGCGATTTCGTTTCACCCAAAATAACATTATCTACAAAAGTTAAAAGTCGAAATGTCTTCGAAGTTTGTAGGCATATGTTACTGATTTACGAAAGCAGAGAATTAGGCTGTACTTATTAACATGACATGAATTTATTTCTAATTTATAACGGTTTAATTCAAGCATTATTTCCTAATTTCAGAAAATTTTGCATAGAACTGTATTTTAGCTGCAGTAGTGTCTAATATAATAGTGCTGTAATAATAAGAATAGTTAATACTTTATTCTTTCCGCAGAAATGTTTTTCAATAGCTACTAAACTTACAAAATATTAATATATTGCTTTGTTTTTTAATTATCGTGTTTTGCGTGTATAATAGTAAAATAAATAATAATAACAATAAAGGCAATTTTTTACCCTCCGAATGCACACGATTACCTTATAGCATAAAAAAAATATAAAACAGTACATATGCATTTTTAAGAAGCTGTTAAATTAATCTATACGTTTCATGCAAACAGAAATATTTCCTCATTTAATTTTATTAGATTACATTTATATTAGATTAATTTAATTTTATTAAAATACATATAAAAAAGGGTACTTACGTATTAACGCAACCACCTTGGGACAATTTGGCGATTTTTCACTGATAAAAAAAGTGTAAAAGTTACTTAAGTATTGCAAGCTGGCGATTTTGGAGACTCAAAATTCATCAAATTATTGACAGTTATCGTAAATCGGCAAATATTGTCAATATATCAAAAGAAAGCATTTACTTTAGTAATTTAAAATATAGATTTTAATTATTAACTAAGAATTATGCGTTAAATTCAAAAAATAAAAGAAATAAAGCACTTATCGTATATTTTTTGGAAATCGTTCTTTAATTTTTTTATCTGTTTTTCTCCCCGTAATCTTTTTTTGCTTAAGAAATATCCCTGAATTGCATAAATTCGGCATCGCTCATAATTTCGGCATTGCTAACAGGTCATCTGTCAAACGCATCTCATCATTGTTTCTTTTAACGATTTTGCTGCAAAATTCTGTATTCCTGCAGGAATTTTACCCGGTTTTCTTCCATTGCTGGCAAATTCTACAAGGAAATATTATAGAACTGAGTTGAAGGCAAAAAATATCATGATTTGTCTATAAAATACTGTTTAAGCATGGAATATAACAAAAGGAACGCATACGAAAATGGCAACGTAGCTTGACTAAAAGATTGTTTTGAGCATAGTTGTTGAAGAATGTTTATGCACATGGTTGCCAGAGTTTGATATATTCTGATTATTTGGTGACTTCTACATGAGTGGTTGCGATAATACGTAAGTGCCCAAATAAATTTATAAGTTGCACAGTTTTAACAGCACTTGGAAGAATTAAAAAAAAAAAGTTCGTTTAGCCATCGCAAATTTGTTGATTACATGGGGTTAAATAGAAATTAGCTGATACCATTGAAGGAATAAATCAAAACTATTAAACACAGATTTTAGTGAACTAAATGTAATCAATTTTATATATGTCACTTTTGTTATTTCTGAAAATTCTGAAGTTCTTGTATGGCGCCCCACAATTTTGTATTTAGTCACATTATGATACAGGATGTTGTGATAGCTTTAAAAAAAATAATAAATAAAGGATGATAAAAATTTGAAAAAATTAAAAAATAAAAAACAGCATTTAATGAAATTTTTATAATTTCAAAAAATTTTAGTGTACATTATTTTACACTTTTTAGGTTAGAAATAATAAAGAAAAAATTTCACTGCTTCTGAATGTAGAAAATTTATTACCGCTTAATCAAATCATCAACGAAGTGCGATAAGTCTTCTTTTCTAAATCTTGAAGAATAAAGTATAAAATATATGTAAATTTCTCGGATAGCATAAAACTGCATTTAATTCATTTCACTCGCGTTTCATTTAAAAATGATAGCTCCTCAATATTTAAAATCATGACGTTGCTTACAACGAAGACTGAATCTTTGACTTAAAAATCTGTCACTTTAAACAGCTGTACAACAGTTTCTTTTTTAATCAATCAATTTTTGAAAAACCTCAAACTCAGTAAACTGCGTTATAAATTTCGAAAAAGGACCCCCCCCCCCATTTTTCCGACAGTGCAAGGTTCAAATTCTAGGATGATCAGACTGACCGTTAATGAAGAATATATGAGAAAAAAAATTCAGCACTAAAAAGGAAATCTTTACCTAATTTTAGAAAATCAGCCGTGGGATACTGAATTGCAGTCAGAAATGAACGCTAAAATTTACAAAAGTTCGCGTGTCTAGAATCAAAACTGGTCTCTCTCTAGAATGGTAAAATCGAAAACTAATTTTACCATTCAAACTCCAGACAGACAGAGAAAGCGAATAAACACCGTATATATATAAACTGTCTGGAATACCCGCAGCTAAATACAAATGCACAAGGCAAGAAACAATAGCTAAATAGAAATGAACGAATACCTAAATGTTCAATTCCACAAACATTACGGCCTAATGGCCTGTTACAGAATTTTAGAACGTCTATTCTTAAATGCTTCACCTGCGGAAAGAGCGCTGGCGTGAAAGGGAGAAACAAAACAAGCTATGACGCAACACGCAGATGCATCATCTTCTGCGGTCGGTTACAGTTACCTCATTAACCCGGTGAGACTAATTTCCGTGGTTTTCGCTCTTTTTCAGGGTCGAGTGCGCTGGAGGAGTGCGAGGTCGCCAAGCAGAGGCGGTGTCGGCAGAACCTGGTGGAGGAGCTCGACAGGAAAATCGGAGCGGATTCCACGCACGGGTTGGACTATCAGTGCAGGTAACACCCGAAACTCTACACTTTTTTTTTTTTTTTTTCCAATCCGTCCCAGTTTGGAGGCCGAGGCCAAAGAGCAACATCCACCCATTTATACTTCCTGATTTTTAATCGGTCAGTTGAACGCATCTCAAGAACTTCGTTAACCGCTTTATGCCCACGCATATACACAAGCAAACATCGCTCAGTTAAGGAAACTGAAACATTTATCTTAGACATGTATGTTCTTTCTTGAAATAACGGTAAACGTTTTTTAGAGGAGTCTTTCTAAGAACGTGGAAGTGCTGCCTTACGTTACGTTACGATTCTGCTGTATTACGTTACGTCTTGCTACCATGCATTTATCATCCAAACGTCCTAGAAAATTTGCTACTATCCTGCAATGATCGTCAGCTTACAATGACGGAATCGACATGGTGTAGAAACGACACTGGCGTAGAACTGAGACCGGCATACAAACGACTTTTATTGCCGGAATGCAATCAACACGATTAAAAGAAAGGAAAGAAAATTTTAATAATGATATAATATTTAAAAAGCTTGTTATATATAAATCACCTTCACAGAACCACACTGGGTAAGGTAGACAGCAGATAGTATCCACGTGGCATTAGACTAATGCGGTATCAAATCGATACAGACATAAGATGAAATCGACATTCACAACGCAGCTAAACATTGAAATTAACAATTCTTGCTTAGCTTAATCAAGAGGAGAAGAATTTGATTAAATTGCTAATTTCAAGATACCTGCATAAGATCGTCACCAGCATGCGGTCGGAAACGGTTTCTGAGCTATCCATGTATTTATTGATTAGATTTTTTTAATTACTTCCTTTTTAAGTTTTACCTTGCTTAGACCTTGCTCACGAATATAAAGCACGAGTAAAGAGCACAGAAGTGGAATTAACAAGGTCTAAGTTGGATCTCTCGGGTCAAATTTACTTACATTCTTTTAAATACGATGTACCATTGTTCTATGGGGGGGAATGTGTTCTGTTACTGAGAATAGAAAATTAAACATAGGCTAAGCATCATCCTCTCTTCTTCAGAATATTTATTCCGTTATTTTAGATTTGTTATTTTCAGAGGATAATGGCAATATAGATCTGGATTCGAACAGCAGCATCTTCACCGTGATTCCTGTTTTTGATGAAGAATTCCATGACAAATAATATAATAAGTCATAACTGTTGCTTATCGATATCTTTTGCTCATACCTCTCCCATTCATTGTCACTAAAAAAAGCAGCTTAATGACAGCATCAAAACTCTAGACTACATTATAGAGATAAAACTATTATGCGCACGGGTCACTGTGCGGATAATTTGCATGTATCTAGGAAATTTTGTTAATTACAATACTGTACTTAAATTGATTTTAAATTTATGTCAATGATATATATTATTAAAAAATAAAATTTTAAAGAATTTTAATTATTAAAAATAAGTTTATTGCTTTTAAATCGCTCAGTAGTTAGATTGATAAAAATCGAAAGACAAACTGAAGACTTCAAACTTCAGGAAAAATTGAGAACTGTTTGGCGTGTGTCCTGACGTTATCTCGCCATGTTGATGCTGTTTCATGGCGCCATCTCTTAATAAGTTTGTTAATTGTTGCTTCCCTACTACGTCATAATACATCAGTACGTTTTAAAGTGGTCAACCACCATGGAGCTTCAATGACTGTTCGAGGCGTAAAAGGCAAACATCGGACAACTAAGTCAAAGGATATTTCGGAATTTCCTTCCCATATATGGATACCTTTACTGGTTCCAGAGATAACTAGCTTAAATAAAAAATACTATGAAAATATGTTAATTAATTACAATAATTAATTAAAAATTTATTAGTTACTAAAATATATTAATTAGTATATAATTACTCTGAAAAAAAGAAGATTCATGGAATAAAATAATGAAAATGACGTAATACTAAGTAATAATATATGATTATTAGCAATTTATTTACTAAAGAAATATTGATTATATTATCTCCTAATATACGACAGCCAAAAAATGAAAGAAGCGCACTAAATAATAAATTTACAAACATAATGGCTTATATTTTTGACAATGCAATTCTATTACTCGAATTTATTGTTTCGGGGCCACGCTTTTATGGTGATACAAAATTGTAGATGAATTTTACAAAGAGAATTATATAACATCTTCTTGTAATTAAACTATATATAAATTTATTTCTTCTTCTTTGTTCGATAATTATCTTATGAATTTTTAATATAAGTTTATTTTATAAAGGCCTTTTTTTCTTCATTTTTAGCCCAAAAGGGCGTTAGACCCAAAGGACTATTAGTCTCAAAACGGCATTTTGTGTCGTTTCACTTTCTGCGTTGGTTCACTTTTCAAACTCATGCCACCAAATATTATCGCTACGTACTATATTTAAAGAAACTAAATAATAAAAAATCTGCATGTATGCATGAATGCTTCTCACACTGTGAAAAAAAAAAAGGTACCTAGAGCCATCAAATTTTGAATAACGTAGTCCTTCAATCGAACATGGAAACCCGATTTTGAATTTCGAGTTTGTTTTTATCTATTTCAAATTCCGTAATACTTTAACGAGTTTTTAATTAAAATACTCAACTGTTTCAAAGTGAGCAATGGCAACACTGTACAGAAAATATATATATATATATATCTCCGGCATGCGAGACTATGTATCGAAAATTCCAAAGATGTGCTGTTTTGATGTTTTAAAATATTTTGTGATATTACTCTTGCATTGAATTTTACCTGGTTTTATTGAATTACTGTTGAATTGAATTTTATGTGGTTGTTGAATTTTATGTGGTTACATATATGTGGCTAATTTAATAAATAAAGGTAACACACAAAACGGTGCAAAGACGCTCATTTGGGCGTAATATAAAATCTGAAAACTTTCAAATTTTCATTTTTCTTTTTAACCCAAAGGGGCAATTTGCCCAGAAGAGCTATTACTAACACTACTTCTAAGAACATATAGTGAATTTGAGTTTCAGAAAGCAGGCCTACTTTTACTCTGTTTGCGTGGGTTCACTATAAATGCCGGTTCCCTTTTTCAAATTGTTGCCGCCAAATATTAGAGTCCTGCATTATATTTAAAGAAATTAAATAATGAAGAATTTGCATAAATGTATGCATGTTTCTCGTATTGTGATAAAACAACGGTACCTAGAGCTATCCAATTTTGAATAACGTAATCCTCCATGGAATATGAACATCTGGAAGCCCTAATTTAGAATTTGTTTGATTATCGATTTCATATTTTGTAACACTTTAATCAAGTTTTGATTAATAAACTCAAAGATTTCTAAGCGAGCAAGGCCAACATTGTGCGAAAAAAAAAAAAAAAAAATTTATTTCCAGCTCGCGAGACTGTTTATCGGAAATTCTAAAGATATTCTGATTTAAAAAAGTTATTTTGGGATATTGCTATTGAATTGAATTTTATGGTTTAGGTGCGAAGAACATGATATTTAAAGGTAACACACAAAACATTAATAAAAACTACCCTTTGGGTGTAATGTAAAATCTGAAAGCTTCAGAATTTTTTTTTTATTTCATCATTTTAGTCTCAGTTTTACGTTAACAACCAAATTATTCAGTTGAAAAATGATTTTTCAGCAACGAGTAAGCTCCGTTTCATTTTGAACAATTGTGTAACATCAAATGATTGAAAAAATTTAGCGAGTTTTTCTAAAAAATCAGAAATAGCATTATCAGTCTCATAAACTTCATTTTATAAATTTTTTCCGCTGTATCCGATATTGTAGGCAGTAAAATTATGAGAGTTTTAGTTTGTCACAAAACGAAGGTATGTGCGAAAAATCATTTCAACGTTAAATTAAAAAAAAAAAAAAAATCTGAAGCTTTCAGGTTTTATATATATATGTTATTTATATTCTCAAATTAAAGTAATTTTAAAATTCCATAATATATAATGTATAACACAATTATTTAAACTGCGCAGACGCAGTTTGAATGCTGTACCGGCACCAACTGACAAATTCTATCTCTCATGAATAATTAAATTTTTTGAAATTGATTTGTTTCTAGTTTAATTTAATTTTATTTAAAATATTAGGCCTTTAATAAATGTCAAAAAACTACAGGGTTGGACAAAAAATATGGAAACACCTTTAAAAAAACATGTTTCTTTGCTTAATATGAGTGTAGGAAACCCGCTGGCATCTAAAACAGCTTGCAGTCTTCTCGGAATGGATAAATACAGTTCCTATATGTTTGCCAAGGGAAATATTATACCATTCTTCCTGCAAAACGGTGGCAAGTTCAGATAACGATGTTGGCGGTGGATAACGAGAACGCACTTTCCGTTCCAATGTAGACCACAAAGGTTCGATAATATTCAGGTCTGGTGACTGTGGTGGCCAGGGGAGATGGGACAACTCATCCTCGTGCTCAGAAAACCAGTCCTGGACAATGTGAGCTGTGTGAACAGGGGCTTTGTCATCTTGGAAGACACCATCACCATCGGGGAACAAAGTTTGTACCATGGGATGAACTTGATCGGCCAAAATGTTCACATAAGTCTTGGCAGTCATGTGCTCTGACACAGTTATCATGGGGCTAGCAGAGAACCACGATATGGCTGCCCAAACCATAACAGAACCCCTGCCATGTTTCACTCTTGGCAACAAGCAGTCTGTATTATAGGCTTGAGATGGCGTTCTTCAGACGTAAACTCGGCCAGAAGTGGGAAACAATGTGAAAGAAGACTCGTCAGACCATATTACTCGCTTCCACTGCTCTGTAGTCCAGGCTTTATGACGACTTAAACACCACCTTTTCCTGTTACGGGCATTAGCATCACTGATGAGTGGCTTCTCAATTGCAGCACGGCCAGCAATTCCCTGTTTATGAAGCTCCCTTCTAATTGTTTTGGTACTCACAGGGTTTCGGTAACACACAACATTCATTTCAGCAGTAACTTTTGCAGCTGTGGTCTTCTTATTTTTCGTCACAATTGCCCTTAATGATCGTCTGTCACGATCACTCAGGACACACTTTCGTCCGCGCTGTGTGATTTAGCAGATGATGTTTTTTCGCTTTTCAAATATGCGGAATAAATCTTCGATACAGTACCTCTTGAAACACTAAACACCTCGGCTACCTTGCTTACGGAAGCACCTACCATACGTGCTCCAACAGTTTGCCCACGTTCGAAGTCTGTTAACTCTGACATAATGCAATGACAACCTCACATAACAGTACTCCGACAACAACTGAACTGTTTAGTACATTTACGAAGTTGTATAGTTGGCGTCAGTAGTCAAAAATGCCAGCGCCACCTACATATTTCATTAAAATCAATCTTTCTTTTCAAACATGCATTTCACAAGGTGTTTCCATATTTTTGTCCATCCACTGTACTTTCTCCATTCTTTGGATTACAGAAAATAATAATTCGCTTCCGTTTTGTTTTTTGACCTGAACTTTTGTTTTCCGTTTTGTTTTTTGTTTTCTGGCTAGGAATTTATGGATTATTTAATTGATGATTTCGAATACTATAACGTTACATGATTTCCATACGCAGTATTACTTGTTCTTATGCCGGTCATGGATATGATAGCGTTCTTGCTTATACAGGGTGTTAAAAGAAAGGGGGCTGTAGACAACTGGAATATTGATTTTAGACTTCTGTTTCCAAGAAGTTTCTCTAGGACTAGGTTCCGAACGTTTTAAGCTGGAAGGTATACCAACAGGAAAAGGTTACTAAAAGGAATATAACCGTTAGTGACCAAGTTAAAAATCTGCTAAAAGTATCAAAAGGAAAAAAAAAATTAGTATCTGTTATAAATTTAATTGACGTAACTTTGTGTTTTAAGTTTTGAAAAAACTTACTGTAGAACTGTAGAACGAATCTCCAGCTTTAACAAGTTGCATGTAAATTCCGGTAGTTTCCTTTAGCTGTAGGATTCAGTTATCAGGCATATGTATACAGATTTTAGCAGACATGAAGACTTATATATTGACTGATCTGATGAGTAAAGTGCTCACCAGTGGCAGAACGGTTAAAGACTGCTAATGCTGGTAATTTGTCAAGGGTTCGAACCCAGGTGAAGTAAGTATTTAGTTTACTCTTGGGTTTTTTAGGCGAAAGAAGTTAATACCCGTGATGTACACCTTTTGAGTTTTATTTCGGAATTTGGGCATTCTTTTTATTCAAAATGCAATGCACAGATTTACAGAAACGTCACCCATGTTTCTGTAGGAAATTTTTGTAATATCAGATCTTAACATTTTTATATCATCGCTATGCAGCTAAAATTTCAGACAATAAAATATTCATTTAAACTTCTATAAGAAAAATTCCCCAAACCATGAGTAACAAATATTTTCATCGCTTCAGCTATACATTTTGTAACGAATGTTATTTTATTCAATATGTAATCACTAATCATCAAATCAAGAATTTTTTTTCTAACTGCAGTATAAATTTTGTCGAAAAGTCTTGAATATATTGATTACGATAGACCTTAATATCTGATCGAAGTCAGTAAATTCGCCTTTTAATACCTCCGTGAACTTTGTACGCAAAGACATGAAATGCTTTATGTATCGAAGTATCCTGCATATTATACTGATTAAAATTTTCACCTCAGAGCATATAAAATAGTTAAATTTTGTATTCTGTGTTGGGATTCACACTTCTTATCCACTGTACTGAAATGCTTTCGTGTTATTCGTGTTATCCATGGTGATGAAATTCACACATTACTTAAACCTTATCTTAAGGAACACAGGAAGAAATATAAAAATTATTTAAGCACAAAAAATAGCCTAAAATTGTAATGTAAATTATACAATAAAGAAAAAACCGAAATTGACGGATTTATCTGGTAATCAGGGATAAATATGATATTCACGCAATGTGACATAATCCTCAAAAATTCGCAAATGCAGTTTCAAAAATTTGGAGTCGTGATAAACTTAACGTTCTACCTACTTATAACTTGATTGCTAAAACGAAATAAAAAAATGTCCTGAAATCAAAATTTACCAATGTATCTTGAACTCTTAAATGTACAAGCAATAAAACGTTTTAAAACTTTAGTGTTAATTTTAAGTAAGAGGTTTAAGGGATTCTTAACACTTTTCTCACAGAACTGACTTCTATTAACTCGTTATTTCACCATAAATCAAAACTAAAATTTCCGGTAGAAGAGCAGTCGGTTTTTAGCTCATATTCACTACGTAAAACAGGTATATAATCATAGGGACCAAAAACCTCCAAACCACTTATATTAACGCCAACCTCCTTCATATTTGCTGGTGAAATTGGTTTTATCTTAACAGGAAGTACCATAAAAATCACAGTTGAAAAAAATTCTTCAAGGAAAAAAAGTTGGCTTTCGAGGGCGGAGTAGCCGTCCACGCATCATTGAAAGTGTGGAAAATCACCGCAAAATTGGACAGCGCTCTTTCACGACGTTCACTGATGCCACTTGCGTGGAGAGAAATTATAGCTTGGAATCGTCAAAGGGCATCATTTTGCTGGGGCCATCGTTTCACTCCTCGGGAATTCTATCTCTTTGCGAGGGGAGAGTATTCGGTTTCACCCAAAGAACATGACCGAGGCCATGCTTGTTGAGTAGATGGTCTACGACCGGGGATGCGTGGGAGAACTTTTGCAAAGAAATTCGCGTGCAGGGCCATACCATATCTGCTGTAGATTTTCTGATGCTCTGAGTCAAGCAGTCACGAATAAATCATTTCAAATGTATGGAAAGCGGTTTCGAGTGGGGGTGTTGTTATTCGTGTACTTTCGAACTTCTGGGGGAGGGTTCAAAGTCATCAGATGTTGTACATCCAAGATCGGCGAAAATATTTTCAGTCTTTCTGATGCTGTTATTGTAGAACTTTCATTATTCGGAAATCCAAACGTTTGGTTAGTTTGAAATGTTTGAGCCAAACAAATTTAAGCTTAATTAGTCGGAAGTCATCCGTTGTAAGAAATGTTGCATATCCAAAGAGTAAATTTTAATTCGTCTTTCAAAGTAAACCATTCGTTGGCTTATCAAACTGAATACTTTGAAAGCAGTACATAGATATATATATATTCTTCTGGGTATACTCTTCTACAACTAAATCCTTCTTATGAAAACTGGCGGGTATTCATACATCATTGTTTTAAAACTGCCGCATCACACAGTATTTTCGAGAAATAATTGCCTTTGTCCGAGATAAAATTTTGCGTCGGTAGAGGTATTTTTAAACATTTAAACCTCTACCGACGCAAAATTTTACTACATACATACTTATAATATTATTTACAAACTTACTGTTATAGTTAGTTACACAACTGCCATAAAATACGATATCCAAATCAAGTAAAATAAGTAATCGTCAGTAACTGTGAGCTAAGCATTATTATCATGAAAGATCGATGACTTATTGTATGCTGCTGTATAAATGAGATAGACACTTCTCACCGATAAATCCAAAATACATACCTTTAAATGAAGCTTTACTTTTTAATGCTGTATACAGTAGTAGGCTCTTTGGAGCAGGAAGCTTTAAAAATAAGCTGCTGAGAATCGAACCACGGATGTTTAAGTTCACTAGATATGCTAACCATTACACTGCAAGCATGCAAACAGGAGGAAATCCCTCAAATGCAGAGCAAAGGCTTAGGAAAATTTTTGAAACAAATTTCAGCAAACCTGTCAAAAGATAATTTATTACTATGACATTTCAAAATGCATCTGTTGAAATATCGCCTGCTTAACGGACAGAATTTTCTGTATGGTTTTAATCCATTCCGTCAATAAACATCTACTGCCTGAAAACTGAACAAAGAATTGCAATGAAGCATTGCAGTAAAACAAGAGTTATTACTATCTTTTTCGAAGAAATCGTAGCTGGAGATGAAACAGTGCTTTATATACGATGAGGCCAAACGTCAGTCATCTGCTTGGCTTGAAGAAGTTTCTCCCCGATCATAAAATTTCGATTTCAAAATTCTCGAATAAAGGCAAAAGAGGTGACTTTTTCTGATTGGAAGGAGAATAATACACAAAGATTTTTTTTCTAAGAGATAGAAGGTATCTTCCAACAATATTTGTCAACAACCTTTATCTTCTAACAATATTTGTCAACAACCTTTATCTTCTAACAATATTTGTCAACTTTTATTTAAAAAATCTACAGTAATAAATATATTGAGTAATTTAAAAGCAATAAACTCACTTCGTAGTAAATAAAATATTTATTTTATTTTTAATAACTCGTATAAATTATAATGCACATAATTTGTAATATATCCGGCAAGTAATTTTTACAGACATTTGCGACTTTTTTATAACTAATAAACGGTCTTTCTAACACTATGGAACTAGCATAAATGGTTTATTTTTTAAATTTTTACTATGTTTTACGTTGTTTTTAATAATAAACTCTTTTTTGAGGTGTTGTATTGTAATATGAAGTCCTCAGATCGTTAATTTCGTGTTTGATTATTTAGGTCTCTTCAATGAATTAATTATAAAACTTCCACAAAATGTTCAGGTTGATAAAAAGATAAAAGAGCGAGAGATTGGTTTGTCAACTGAGGGTAAATTTTCTTTTGCAGGAAGTTGAGAGAGAACATGAATTGCTTGGTTCTCCAAGTAACCCGGTGTCCCTCCCCTAACCGAAGCGGAGATCTCATTCTAAGAGTGTGGAAGTACATGCAAGACAACTGTGATGCATTCGGAGGTAAGGACCGTCTCCATTGAGTTTCAGATGTGCATGTATCCGGTTGACTGAAAAATTATGACGCATTTTTTTATGTTCTTCGAAAACCCCTTATTTATGTAAAAAAAAACAATGATCAATCAATATAGTGGCCTTTTTTAATAACTGTTTGTTTCCTTTTAATGAGCTTCGTAATTCCTCTAAAAAAAATTAAAAAAAAAAAAAAAAAAAGAACTGTTCTATATCCCCCGTTCTACTGGGCCAGTTGACGAAATTCAAATTGCGTTTTTCATGTCTCGAAAGCGCGACTTAGGATATATATTAGATCTATATATAGCACCATTCTAACAGAGGTATTTTGACATAAAATCGGACTTTTTCATAAATGACATGCCAATTTTTTCCATATTTCGATTCATTATGCCTAAATATTAAATTTTGTAAAAATTTGGTGCAGAATTTACGGAGAAATTCAAAACTTTATCTTCGCGTATATTTTTCGGTTTTCGCCAAGAATAATTTGGCGAACTTCGTAATTTATAGCTACCTATTTGCCTTTTCTTTTTTTTCATTGCAGACAAACGGGGAAAAAGTCATCGTTCACACTTTCACATGATTTTAACAAAGTGCGTAAACCACATTTGGCGTTATTATCGCTCAAAAACAAGATGCCAAATTTCAAAACGCTCCGATATGTAAATTCATGTATATCTTAGAAAATTTTGAATCAAAAACTCTAAATTTTTGCTGGTGTGCCTAGAAATACATCTATTTTAAAACGATGTTAACATTTTATAGGTTGTTACAGAAAAATGTTTTCGAAATATCTATAAAAAATATTTCAAAATACAAATTTTAACAATAAATCAAAAAAAATGCGCGAATTATATTTGGATTAAGCCTAAATTTCAAATTCTGGAAGAAGAAATCAAGTAAGTTTAATACAAAAAACAGAGATTATAAATATGTATTAAATTCAATTGACATTGATGAGCTGAAATTTTGAGAGCTAATTGTTTTAAAAACTACTCGTGCGATTTTTACAAAACTTGGCATTTGGCATAATTTGAGTCGTAGAATCGAAGTATGGAAATCAATTGACATGTCATTTCAGAAAAAGTCCGATTTTGTGTCAAAATGCCTGCGTTAGAATGATGCTAATATATATCCTAAGTCGCGCTTTCGAGACATGAAAAACACAAGTTTAATTTCGTCAACTCGCCTAGTAGAACGGGAGATATAGAACAGTCCCTCCTCTTTTTCCCCCGCAGTGTACATTTATCAGAGCGGATAGAAAACGAAAGTTTAACTGGGGATGATAATCAAGCAAATTTTTTGTTTAGGACTCAGTTGATAAAATTATCAAAACTGAGTCGGGAATATCACCACAAAATCTAGTAGTTTCTTTTTAAACGGTACATATTATTTTATGTTAGTACCCATGGTATTGAGGTCTTTATGGAAACAGAAAACAAATTTTTGTACATCTACGACGTATGCTTCTGCCGCTTGTCCACTGAGAATTGTACGTAGTTACCATAAGTTGGACGTGTTCCGTGTCAACAAAACTCTTTCTACCTAAAAACTAATTGAATATCTTCCATAGATAATGACCGACCATTTTTCGCCGCATCTGCTCCACTTTCAGTGGAAAGTTGGAAGCACCCCGCGTACAACCCCGACCTCACTCCATATGATTATCGTCTTTTTACAATATTAAAGGAGTTATAGATTGAAAAGTGCTTTACTGACAACGATGAATCCTAGTTAAAGATAACTGCATTTCTCAATTTACTATTGATATAAGGATACTAAGAAGGTGAAGAGAAATTTGTGTTTAGGTGGCGATGAATGCTTCAGTTCTATGAGCCGTTGTGTTTAGAATATATGCAACGTATGTAATTTCGAAATAAAAAAATTATTCGATTATTTCATTCCTTTTTATTATCAGGCAGGCATTACTTTATGAAAGTGCTATGTAGGGCTTAAAGTTTTTGTCCACTTTTTAAGTCGTTTTGTAATGATAACCTGAATTTCTTTTCTAAAAAACAGATCAAGCAAACGCTGTGATATTTCGTTACGGGCTTTCCATTATGAAGAAGTTTTATACAGTTAAGGAAAAATTTCTTCGCACATGAAATAAAGTAGAAATAAAAATGAGTTTAATTCTTCGAGTTATCCACTTTAAAAAATCGTTGTTTTGCTGAAAATAAAATAGGTTTCATATTTAGATTAACAAAAAATAAATTACAATTTTTAATTCTGTCAGAAAACCTTTGTTTTGTGTTTCATTTTACAGAAGTAGAAATATTTTATTTTTTATCTATATATCCCATCCCGAAAAACTTAATATTTTTTTTTTTTCAAAAACAAAGGTATCTTATTCCTTTTTAACAAACAGTGTTGAAATAAAAAAATTTTCTACCCTGCATAATTGTAAGTCCGTATTTGGAGTACTTAAAAAAATCTAGTTGACTGAATTTTTCGAGGATCCGGTTCAACAGTAACAAAGCCATTATACAATCTAAAAAGCAATAGAAAGCAACTATTTAAAATTAGCTACATATCGTAAGGTGAAAATTTCGTACTACTCATAACGTTAACTGTTGTTTTAGTCTCTTCCCAGAAAAGCAGCTTTTGTTGCAATTAAGTAAGTACTTTTGAAAGCTATGCTTATGAAAAGAACGTAATCGTCTTTCCGTTAACACTTTTGCACTACATATATTAATGGCGTATAGTATAGGCTAGTCTATATACTGTGCACGTGCATGAAAATTAGTTTAATAACTTCTTGAAAATGGCCTGATACAAGTAATCTGGATAACTGAAAAATTGAAATTTTATTACATTAACTTCTTATAACAATATACAAAATATACACATTTTAATTGTTTTCTGTTAATTTTTATTATCTGAAATTACACAGAAGTTCTTAAATGACAGTATAGTCAACTCTCGATTAATCGGGAATAGTAACAGGAGGACGTACTTAGCTAATTCAAAATCACGGATATTCCGATGATAGTTCAAAAACACAGAAAAAGGAATAAAGCGTATTAAAATTAACGGAAAATACTATTTAATTTACCAATATTTTCAAACAGTTTAATCTGGAAAGTAAGTTTATTTAATTGCGTAAATTAAATCCATATTCAAAAGAAAACACATTTGAAAATAGCGGAAGAATAAACATCATTACGAATGACGAAATAAATATATAAATTGCATTAAAATAATATTTACAAAAGAACTTAAACATCGTAATTCAGTTCAAACTCGCATAAAAAAGTCGGTTAGAACTTTTTTGTTGTTTTTGTACAACATTTACACATTTCGGATTTCGTGCAAATTATATTACGTACCGTTGTGACTAAACTTTCAAATCATGAGCTAACACTGTTGTTATCCCATGCATTTTACTTTACCTTGTATTTTCTCTAATCCGTTTTGTATAATGCTAGAAACCGTTCATTTTTGCGTAATAAACAACTTAACTTTTTTTAAGACTGTGCCTATTGATTCATCCCCGGTTAATCAAGCGCATCTCCAATGTAGATCCCAAAATGCAGTTATTTCTTGAAAAAATGACTTATAATTAATTTTATTTTATTTTTTAATATTTTTTTCTTGTATGTATATTTCTTTAGGATGGTGGAATTATGAATGCTTCCATCTGGAAGAAGTAAAGAAGTGCGAAAAAATATTCGCCCTCAGAGATGTTACAGCTTCTCACACTTCTTGCAGGTATGAAATAAAACTTGTTTTCCTTTTCGAACATTGATTCATGAAAACTATAACCAAACCAATGATTTTCGTTATCAGCAAATGGTACCGGAAAGTAAACTTCTCACATCGTGTTTATATTATATTGAATTGTTTGCACTTCTTGGGGGTAATAAAATGAACATGAATATTATAATTTTATCAATTTTTTTTGAATTTGAAGATTTGTCGTAAATATTTGAAGATGCCAGTGATCTGCCTCGAGTATTCTCTCCAAACAACCATTTATTATATTTCGACTACAGATGGAAGTATACGTATGGTTATTATTTTAGCAGTTTTCATTTTTCTCAACTTGACTGATGACTGTATTTTACTGACTTTTTTAGCAACGTTTTCCTTTATTGAACTGTTTTTCTTAGTTTGCAAAGGAGTGTCTTCGTTACGTTTGATGTCAGTCATATTTTCGTCCTTCATTCCGCATGACTAGCAGTTAGTTAGAGGATATTAAAGTCGTCGAGCTCAATTAAAGAATCTGCCTTTCAGCCGTCGTTTTTGTTATCACAGTAAACAGTTTTTTAATGCGGAAATTGGTAATATATGAAGATAGGTCAAAGTATGGGAACCACAATTAAAATATTTCCAATAACAACAAAAAAGTGAAAATGTAATAAGCTAAGAAAAAAATTAAGAAAGAATAAGGTAAGCATTAAAATGATTATATGGTTCGAAAACGAGCTAACTGTCGCTTACAGTAGCAAATTTAATCTAGCAATAAAAAAGTCATTTTTTTCTACAAAGAATTAGATGCTGCATATGTATAGAATTTGCAAGCCAAATTTGAAAACTAAATTTAATTTATTAAATTGTTTCTTCACATTTTTAAAGTCAAATTAAAAATTTTAATTCTTTCTCTCTCTCTCTCTCTATATATATACAGAGAGAGAGAGAGAAAGATATCAAATATACAGATATGTATATTTGAAAATCTGATAAATTTTATAATATTCTTGAACATTCAGATTCTTAATTTTTTTTATGTTATTTTGAAACGATTTGTTCTTATCTTAATTTGTTAATCTCAAATTGTGCTGAAATCCCATTATATCCTAAAGCACTATTTTGAATGAATACTGGATGCGGACTATGGTGGGATTGCGCAATGTAACGTAACGAGTGAACTCGAGATACTTTGGGAAGCTTCAGTTGATCATCTCCACTGCGGAACTCAACCTTTTTTTGTGTGTGTGTGTGTGTGTGTGAGCTGTTATAAGGCTTGCAATTTTTAATTTTAAACTTAAATTTTTAAGTGATAGTTAGGATGGGAAGGCATTACCAGTTGACCCTTTGGTACATTGTTGATGTCCTCATACTTGTACGTGTAGTAAACAGTGCCGCCTAGTCGGTATAGTGGTTAATGACGCTGACTACCAAGCCGATGAGCTAGGGTTCGAATCTCGGAGAACGCATAGACGTTAAGCGTTTAGTTTCTGTGCTGCAAGGAGGCACTCGAAATACAGGTGAACCGAAAGTCTTCCGAAGAGTTTGATGGTAGAGAAAGAGAGGTAGGAGACCCTCAGACCTCCAGGAGTGTTCTCATTCAAAATTCGAGGGGAGGAAGCTTAACGGTTAGCTAAGTACAGCAACACATCTATCATCTATGGTACTACAGAGGTACTGGCTTAGCTTCTATTTATACACATAGAAAAGATTCTCAGAGTAGCTGGAAAATTCAGAATCCATTACCGCTATCAAGAATTTTTATTGATATATATCAGAATTAAATAAATAAAAATAATAATTTTCAGTTGTTTAACCTGCCATATCAGTTCGGTAGTTAAATTATTTGTAAATCATTTTGAACTAATGTAGAACCAGTCTTCAATCTACAGTATTAAAAATAGTGCTAAAACGTCTTGGCTTTTACACGAGAATATACCGTAATTGAGGTAGAAGTTGCTACAAATTAGATTGCGAGTAATAACACGTAAATGTTTTTGAGATTCTGTGCGTATTTCGTCTTTGATAATGTCTTTACACAAAATCTGCGAGGTAGCACATTGGGCTTCGTGTAAAAGTGCCTTCTTTTACAGTCGTTCCTTTTATAAGTGAGCTCATCTGAGCTCTCTGTTTCTTAGAAATATATTCTATACGTTAACTGGAATATTAATGTATTATCATGTCAACTGCAAACACCAATGACGGCATCCTTCTTCACAGGGAATATGACCGATTTCGACACTGTGTTGGAGATGTAGTCAAGAAGCACTGCGATCCCGAAGACGTACTGTCTATGGGTAATTACCTGCTGGATAGTGCCGGTGATATGATCTGGACTTGTCCTCATCAGTCCGGGCCTTCCAAATCGCCGATAGTGGACGAGGGTTTCGTGGGAGTTCTCAAGCCAGACAAGGGGTCGATCGCCCTGGATCAACACCTCCCTCCTCTTGCCGTTGCCCCATTGGTAAAAAAGGATGGACTGAGCAGCAAAATAGCTGTGGAAGAATCTCATCTGAGCAGGGTTTATAGCTCGGCCTTGACTGGAGAAGGACCTTACGTCACAGGTAGCACTTATTTTCATCTAAGCTGTAGCAAACAGATTCTGTTACAATACTTGTAGCAGTTATTCCTTTTTACCTTTTACTCTTTGAAAAACGTTTAGCAGATCATGATTCTAAATCACCCTATTGACCAGGGTAAACGCACAACTAAAGTATAAGTGGCTACCTTAATGTAAGGAAGAAATACTTGATCTGGAAAAATACAGTACTAAATTTTTTATATTTGTTTTAAAGTTTTATTTATTTATTATCACTTAAAGCAGTTTACTATATTATTATCTCATACTCACAAATGAGTTTAATGTAAAACTGGTTAGCACACGTTCAATAAATATTGGGGGGGGGGAAGGTGTCAAAACTCAGTCATCTAGGAATTCGTGGGTTGTCATTTTCAATTATCATAACCAAAGTCCCACTAGTAACTATAGTTTACCTCCTATGTTAATTTACCATATAACTTTTAGCTCCATTTTAATGTGCTATCAGGTTCTATGTTCCGCCTTACTTTCTTTGGGAACATGCATCGGACGGGAACAGGGAGACTTACTAAAGCCATAAGGGCACAGATACACAGAAGGTATACAAACCTTTATTTTTTCATCGTTACAAGATTTCAGGACTTCGGAAACAGGACCACCACTGTGGTCTGAACGTAAATATCACAATATGAACTACACTCTAACTTAAATTTGGAATATTAAAACAAGGCCTACTGAAGATTGGCCGATTTCACAAAGCCGTATGTAGTCAGAAACTGCTAAAAATACATCTTTTGAATTTCTCAAGAGGACTGAACCTCTGCCTGAAGGCAACCAGAACCGGTAAAACTACTAGGCAAGCGGCCTGCTTCTATAACTCCTTCTCTCTCTTGCTTGGCAAAAAGCTACAACTAAGACTTGCGTTAGCAGACAAGTTTGCATAATACGTTAAAGCTTATAAGTATGGCCGGAAGTAGAAAATAAGAAGTGATAGTAAAGATTTAAAATAAAATAAACGTTAGTAAAACTTAAGATCCTTACAGTGCAATCTAATGTTATATTGCATTTTCTGTAATTTAATGTACTATTTATGTATATTCTTAGACAGAAGATAAACACTAGAGGTATATATTCTTTAATCCCAGCAGATTTTACCAAAATAACTAACTATTAATAAATAATAAAATCTGCTATTAATGAATGCTTTAATTATTCTCTTCTCAAAAGGAGTCCATTTGTCAAAGACATTTGTAATTGATCTCTTATTACATTTTTCTCTTTTTTCTTTATATCTCAGCTGAAAATATTCATTTACAGCTGATGAATAGGAAACAAAACACAGCTTTAATTAATTTTTAAGGTAGCAAATCTTTGGTTTCGTGCAGAAATTTTTCAGCTTTCAAAAATTTTGTTTTATTAAATACATTTGCTTTCCTTATGTGTAACATGTGTACGAGCCAGTTTCCTTAGAAAGTCTTCCACGAAGGCATGCTTCTCTTTAGACAGATAGCCGTCGAGTTTTTTTACCGTAAATCAAATTAAACCAAACCCTGTTCAAATGATCAATGCGTGACATCGAGAATTATGATCTATTAAAAGGAATGGACTGCTGATGGTTTCAGCTTACTTTAGGAACAAAGGTCAAAGATCTCATTCCTATAGCGTTCAACTATTATGTTTGCCCTTTCGGATGCTGGAGCAGATCCGTAAGTCCGTCTATACTTATTCTTGGTAGAACTATTAGTTCTCCCCCTCGATTTTGTGACCTTTCGCGCATAAAATTTGGGTCTTTTTTTTTTTTTTTTTTCGTAGAGGCAGCAATCGTCTGTCTCCAAGCAGAATCTTGTCTTGTCTAATAAAAAAAAATCATTACCACTCTATATACCACCTTATCTGCAATGTTCGCCCTCCCAGTTTAATCACATACTACGCTATCATACGGTGAAGTGAACACAAATTGCAAGTACAGACATAGCATATTAACTATAATGAAGTAGGCGTTTTCGTACAAGCTGCGTCCCCAAGTTTCGTCTTGTAGCCTATGAAAATCATTTTGCGTGTAACTGCCACTTTTTTTCTGTTTAGACCGGCTGTTATGGACAAAACATTATCGTGGCTTCTGTTGTTGCATATGGATGAACTTGATCTGACATTCTACCAATATTCCGTGTGATTTAGAAAAAATTACAAAGTCGAGAAATTACACTTTGAGAAACGCCAAAACTTCATGACTTGCCAGATGTTTCTAGATAGTGCCGAGATACAAACTGAATAACACGGGATACTGAATTCACTGTCGTATTTTTTAATTCTGTCAATTACGTATGTAGAAGCCACTAACGCTGTTGTACAAAAATCTTCTAAGAAGCATTATATTCATATTCAATAGATTTTCAATAGATTTTGCACGTTAGTAAGCATTATGTCAAAAAATCATGGTGATTTTTTAACTTTTTTTAGCAGTGTATATTAGCTAGCATAAAGAAAATATTACAAACAAATGTATGATCTGTGTGATAACTGCAGGCCGAGCGCCCTAGCTGGTGGAAAAAATGCAGTTGCATTAGGTGGCAGAATGTAGGGTTGCTAAAATTTTGAACACACCGGGCAGCAGCATTTAGGAGTGCTTGGTGGCAAAAGGCCTAATACTGATTCTGGTTAACTGTGACTGATACGTTAATAAATTGCTTATGGAGAAGAGTTATTGCTGTCAGTACTCATTCTCGCTTCTTTTGAAATCGGTTATTTATTAATTGGACATTTTCATTAAAGATTACTAACGGTAATGGTTAAATACTGAATTTATAGTATTTAAGAACTAGAAATAATTGGATTAAAATCCATTAAATACTCTAAAAATGCGTATAATTGGATCTACCCTTAAGCAAACACGTGTTTACTCTAACGTACCTAAAGGAATATTTTCGTGTCCTCCTCTGATACATTAAATTATATATGTGCTTGTATCCTTTCTGCAAACCCTTCGTGTTTATTTACTTCTTCTTCGGAAGGTAGCATTCGCGCATACGTAATCAGACATAGTAAAAATTAAAAACAGTTGCGCGAACGAACTTTGCATAAAAATGATAATACATGTCCTGTTAATTTAAAAGGTACTTGAGACCTCTCTCCCCCTTTTTTTTTTTCAAGTAGGGTTTTCTTATTTTTATGAATGTCTTTGTGTTGTTGCAGGATGTAACGCACGCGCCACGGAAGAAATGCGAGGCTGCTTGGATAGACATCAATATGAGAGGGACCAAGCCTTGGGAGCCAGAGAAGACGAGGATAGACTGAGAAAAGAATGTTGGTGAGTGGATCTGAATGTTAATCTGTTGTTCACGAAGTACACTTAAGCAAATTTTGCACATCCCCTTAACCGAAATGCTTAATAAAACCTTTCTAAATCGAAACTAATATTGATAAATTCAAAAACCAAAGTCTAATATATTTTCAACTCTCCTCTCCTTTTTTTTTTCTCATCTCGAAGAAAACACTTTCGACCTTTTCTTGCTTTCAGATTGCTATAAAACTGGTCCTTGCTAAATTGACTTTTTTGCCAGAGGACTATGATTAAGATTTTTCGTTTATCTCCCAAATTACTACGGTTAGCACACTCGGTGCGTATTCGAGAGGTCCGGGTTCGAGCCCCGGTGAGAGCATTTTTTCACGACTTCTGCTTAATAAATACTAATGACTCTACACACTTCTGGCTATTAAAATTACTACACCATGAAGAAAAGCAGGTAGCGAACTCATATTTAAACTGCTCAAAACAATTAAAGGATATTGTAAGTTTTATATAAAATAAAGATATAAGCGAAATTGTTTTGCCAAAAATGAAGAAAGAATCACAATTGCAAATTTTCTGATTTCAAACTGTGGAAGTATGCTAATTTTTAGTTCGACGCCAAAAACGTCGCTTCAGCGGCAGCGAATGAAATTTGACTTCTGAACAAAAGACAAAATTTGACAACTGAACAAAAGACAATGAAGATAAGGATGATCGCCATTCAGTGACTGCTTTGCTTCGATGAGTACGATGTCTCAGCGAAGTAATTTAACCAATTTAGAAGCTTGGAGAGTTGTTGGTAGTTTAGAAGGGGGCAAACTCAAGCCGAATTAGCGCAAGCCATTGGAGCGTCACAAAAGTTCCAGGACCTGGAACAGTTTTTTGGAAACTGGAAGTGCAGGCCGAAGACCAGGTCAAGGTCGTAGACGGGCAACAATGCCCAATGAAGATCGTATTTGTGTTAAACGGTCGGAGACACCGAATATGAATGCTACGTTCTCCAACAACACTTCGCTCGGCTTACTGGCACCACGTTTTCAAACTAAGACTGTCCGAACCGGCTTCCATGGTTGTAGGTCTGTATGCTCGCCCACTCGGATGGTATGTGTAGAATAACATCAAGGCATCGTAGCAACCGCAGGGAGTGGGCAGCAGAGCATGTGAAACCTGGAAGAGAAATGAATGAGAGAATGTTCTTTTTTCTGACGGTCAGCTCGTTTTTGTTCCATCCTGCATAATAGGCGTATTATTCATCTGAGGGACCGTGGCAGTAGGAATTAATCATGCGTTTGTGCACGAAAGTATGGATTTGGCGGGGGGGGAGAGTGTTGGTAGATTTAGTGGCATTCTATTGACAGGCGCACAGAACCCTCTACATTCATTCGAGATGTGTACCTCTGACTCGTCGCCGACCGATATAGGGATTGAGATCATCAACATATGTAGTCCATTACGCTGCAGCCCCGGAGTTGACTTCATTTCCAATGGACGATAACTGCAGGCCACATCGTTGCTAACATGTGGGGAGGATTTCCTTTCCGAGGAAAGGAATCGTAACGACGAAGGAATGGCCAGAGTGTTCTCCAGACATGAAGCCAATAGAGCACCGTTTGGCACGCTTATCCAGACGAGTTGCTGCCCAATCACCCCCACAACTCTACACGAAACTGGAAAGAAGCTCTTTATGGAACAGGTGACGAATACCCAACTCGTTGATTAATATTCTCATTGACTCCATGCCTCAGAGGTGTTCAAACGTTGCTGGCCATACGCGGAAACCTTACCATGACTGAATGATTTCCTTTGAAGAAAAACACCTTTTCTTATTCTTTTTTTTTTGATGCACAAAATTGTGTTTTTCCTTTTGTACTTTCAATGCGCAATAAAATTGCATTTTTTCTGCCAAAAATGTGTAAGTGATTCTCATATAACCTACTAAGTCTGTCGACCATGTATCAATCAGCTAAAAAGTTTCCCAGCCACAAGATCCATCTAAAACCGCAATATCCTTTAATTTTTTTAGCAGTGTATTTTATAAATACATTATAATGGAAAGTGTAAGTGATTAAAATTGTAAGCAGGTTTCAAGAACAACAGAACATGCAGAAATCAGTATCAGAAACATCCGGCTAGGCAACAATAGGAGCTGTTATAAAGTTAAGCGTAGAGAAGAACAGGCTTTGGATGGCAGTTAAGGTATTGAAGTCATGCGGCTTCGAGTTCATAACCAGAGTTCATCTGTCGTGCTAGTGAGTGGTGCAATCATGCCATTTTTCTGCAAACATTTGAGGAGAGATCTGGAGAAATCGCAGGCCAAGACTCGACCTGAAAACCCTATGTATTCAGGAAATGTAGGACAGCGGGGAAAATATGCGTTCTTGCGTTGTCCTGCAGAGAGGTGGAGCGATTGGGGCCCCCAAAATATAGTACAGCCAGAAACATTAAAATCTGTAATGTAATAGTGGCTGGTCAAATTACCAAATATGCGGACTAAAGGCGAGCGAGAGGTGTACACAGTGGCAACGTATATCATCACTCCAGGTTCTGGGCTGGTATGACGTTGAAGGATGCAGTCTTCTAATATTCGCTTCTTCGCTTACATATACGGCTATCATGATGCCATAAACAAAAGAGTGATTCATCAGAAAATAGATATTACACCATTAACGCGCCCATGTACGTCGTGAAACGAACTTTTATAAACGCTATTTCCTGTGCTTTAGCGTCAAGGAAAGTCAAAGCATAGGTTACTTTGCTAACAATCCATGCACTTCATATCGTCATACGTGCGGATATTGAGTGCTGTACAACACAACCAGTTTCCTGACCCAGATGTAGGATGTGGCTGCATGATCTCTAATAGCTATGTAGAGCGGGTGTCTCTCGGCTATAAATGGAAGCCATTGAGATCTCAAAATATCTTCTGTATGGACCAGAAAGGGCTTCTAAAATTTGATAACATTTACTGATATTATATGTGTTTGTATTGTGTATTTTCATAAACTTACGAGTTTTGGTAAATACTTACGAATTTAAAATATTATGTTATTCATTTTCATTATCCTCTTTCCCAATTTTATCCATGGGACACTAGTTTATTAGCTTAAAAGTAATAATCGCAATAACAAATTTAATCTTAAATTTTGACGCTATAAACGTTTGGAGCAAAGACTTCCACAATTTTTTGCAACGTTAATTTAAGCTACACTGTATACATAATCCCTGCACCTTTAGGTAGTGTTCCATTGAGAGAAATAAAAGATTTTTTATTTGTCTTTCCGTAGTCACTCAAGCGGCAAGTTCTCGGAGTGCCATTTTTCGAGGTATAAGACCTTTATTTTATTTTCCTACATTAAGCAGGCTATACAAATTGAGTCTTACAAACTAAGTAGTTTAAACGCAATAAACAGATTTCTCAATAATTTAAACAGTTTTTGACATAATTTTAAATATATTTATATGTAAGGAGTTCGACAATTAATTCTTGAATACTTATTGCGTAGCTATTGTCAGTAATTAATATTTTTGATGCCATAATTATGTATTTTGGCATAGAGTAGTTTGATTTACTTAACTCGTTATACATTTTCTGTTGATGTTGTTATTATGACTAATCTTACTTGTCTAATATCAGAGCAATCCCACGAAATTCATCGTGGCAAAGAGACAAGACTGCGCCTGCCGTTGGCAACAGCCTTGAGCACCATACGAATGACAGTACGACTTTGTTCAGTTTTACTTTTACAGCCCTCAAGCCGCACAGATACTATACATTTACAAACATTCATGCTTTCTCCTGGATTCAAGCCCGAGCTCTTCGGCACGGCCTTCAAAGTCACTAATCACTATCCCGGACGGGCGGCATACCTTTTTTTTCTAAAATTATGCATACTTATTTTAATAACTATATAAGTATCCTATACGCATTATATCATATATTTAAATTGAAGTAAAATGTATTTAAAATGATAAATTTACAGTTTAGTTCATTAAAATGTATTAACAGTTGGATTATCATTTAAAGCAATCTATACAGATGAGACAGTCTCAAAACCACGATCCTGACCGTGGACTACATGGAATAAAAAATGTGTTATCCGTTATGTTCTTTATTAGTGCAGATAAACAGAGTACCGCTGCACTTAAGTTCTTAGCTTTTACAATGTAACTATTAATTTTGCAAACAGTTTAAATTCAAGTTTGTACACTGTTTTACTTTTCCCCTCTTTTTTGACAGTAATTCGTTTAGTTCGGAAATTTTATGCGAATCTTAGCCACGAAAAAGTAAATTTAAGCTCTTGTTTCTTAACTGCAGCATAGGAAGTATAGTTTATGTTCCAAGAAGTGCGCGTGGGAGTTTTAGAAATTAGCTCTTGTGTTTCTAAAACTGACGGCGATTATGAGAATCTTCCTGGATGTAACTGGAATTTCAAATTACATAGCTAGTGTCCAGCAAAAGTTTAGTGACGGCACGTTTACGGCAAATATGGCATGTTTGGGATGCCGAATTATCGGACTAAATTTGTGCGGCGACGCAAACGATTTTTTTAACCTTACTGAATGCATTGAGGAGTGAAAACATTGCGTATAGTAATTCAGCAAATACATTTAATGAATCATAATTAATAGTAAATACATTTGTTTATTATTTAATCAATTTTTGCTTTGAAATTATCGGTGCCAGTGCATGAAATCTTTTCAAATACAATTTTTGTCTGCTGCATAATTTCCGCTATAAAATCAATAAATAAATTAATTAAAAACTCATTTCATAGAACTGGAAAATATTAATTATTTTTTATTTGTGTTATGCCTTTTATTTTTGCCGGCAAATTTCTCGAATCTACTCTTTAATACATGGACAGTCTTGAAGCGATTTTGGTTGAATTTTCTTCGTCACTCATTTTCTTTTTACTGTTCGTGGATTTAATGCGCTTTGACTTACGACATCTTCTTTTAATTCTATAACAGTTTTAATTTATTTTTATTACTTTCAGTCCCTCCTTTTTTAAGATTTGATGTTTTTTGATAGATTAT